ACCTGTTGAAAAAGATGCGGCTTCCTTTCTCTTAGCTTAAACGAAGTTCCGTAACAAGCGCCCAGTGTACCTTGAACCACCAGCCCTACACCCTAAACCCTAAACACTGAACCCTAAGCCCTAAACCCAACCCTAAACCCTAAACCCTAAACCCTAAACCCTAAACCCGAAACCCTAAACCGCCCGAACTCGCAACCAAGAGCCCCAACGACTTCCCGTGCAAGGAGGCTCTTTAACTTAGTTCCCCAGTACCCAACCTTTAAACTTTTTGGGTGCTTGATTTTCTAGTAGTAATCTGAAAGTTTAACCTTTTATCTCCCTGGCTTATTGAGGAAGTAAGTTAAAGGTTTGATAGGGTTTAGGGTTTAGGGAGGATTGTTAGGGTACCAGTGGAGGCTTTAGGGTTTCAGGATTTCGACCCTCACCATCCTCAGACCCCAAAACCCCTAAACCCGAAACCGGGCCCTACGGTTGATGATTTAAATCCTGCATTACCCATAGTAAGGAAGATGCCATAAGTAACATAGTTTAGGGTCCTGAAGGTCATGCAGGATTTGTATCATCAACAGTATAACCCGGCAAGACCGGCTAAGGAGCCCATCTTCTCACCGCGAAAGCAGTCGTTGAGCTCGGATGACTTTGACGCAATACTCCAGAGGCTGACAACGCAATTCAAAGGGGCTCGAAGGGTGGGATGAAGGTAGGCAGGCTAATCCCAAATCAGAGTCCTTACAAAGAGATCCTTAATGAAACCTAAACCCTGAATCCCTAAATCCCCAAAACCCAACCCCCCCCCCCTCCCCAAACCCTAAACCATCCTAAACCCTTAAACCCTAAACCCTAAAGCCTTAAATCCCTAAACCCCAAGCCCCAAACCCTACCTTCATCTCACCTCTTGAGGTCTCCTAGCAAAGTTCCCTAAGCCTGAAGTCGGAAGCTCTGGGTAGCTCCACCAGAGACAGGTTTTAGGATTCAGGTCTGATCATGGTAATAGGGTTTAGGGTAGAGGGTTTAGGGTATAGGGTTTATAGGGTTTAGTTTAGGGTATCGGGTTTAGGGTTGAGGGTTTAGGGTTGAGGGTTTAGGGTTTAGGGTCTAGGGTCTATAGGGTATAGGGTTTAGGGTTTAGGGTTTTGGGTTCAGGGTTTCGGGTGTAGGATTTCGGGTTTACGGTTTAGGGTTTCGGGTGTGGTTCAGGGTTTTGGTGCAGGTGCCTTAAGAATTAGAAGAGGGTTCTTGGAGTTCCTTTAACGGGTTGCTCAATGGGTTCTATAAGGGCTGCTCGGCGGGCTTAGGGTTTAGGGGCCTTAATAATTAGAATAGGGTTTCGGGGGTTCCTAAAAGTACTTATAGTATAATATACCCCAAACGCTATTCTAACTGTTGACGCCCCTATATCGCATGTAATCTTGACCCCTGATTCAGAAGCCACGCGACCTTAATTAAACAAAATCAGAACGGGGATCCTACGTTTTGAAGGCTTATAACCCACCATGCATATACGTACTGCCGTTGATGACATAAACCCTGCGCTACTCATAATAAGGAGCATACCACAATTCTTATAGGTTAGGGTGCTTAAGGTAATGCACGTTTTATATCATCAACAGTAGGTTCCTTCATCGCCTGGGGTTTGCCATTTTGTTAGGACCTGGAGTTTAGCTTTGTTGTTGACTAGGGCTTGGGCTGTAGTTGCTGTTTGTCGAGTGGTTCACTCGAAAGCAGGATGCAATGCTTTGGTTTAGGGTTTAAGGTTGTGTAGGGTTGAGGGTTTTGGGGCTTTTAGAGGGTTGTAAGCACATCCGGATCGGGCCTTGCTTTCCCCCTTTGGGTTGAGGGTTCGAGGGTTTGGCCACGTACTTAAAGAGTTAGCGCCCAAAGACCTAAACGGTTTAGGGAAAAGGGCCGCTTCGGGTTTAGGGTAGCTCTAAACCCTAAACCCGAAACCCCACATCCTGGGTCGCAAGCCCTAGACCCCAATAAGCTACACAGAGAAGCCCGACTTAAGGCATTTCGGCTCAACCGACCTGGGTCGCCTTTTATTTTGCCCTTTTGATGTTTGGGTTTCCCTATCAGCGCTGAATAAAATAGGTGCCTTAATGATTACCCATACAAACTTGTTTATCATTATAGTATAATATACCATAGAACCCTATTCCAATTATTAAGGCCCCTGCATTAGTAGGAAGAAAGGTGCAACCCCGAAAGCTTTTCACCATCGAATGTGCGCAGCCCTAAGCCGAAGAGCCCTGAATCCACAGCAACATAGAACAACCGGCTTTCATCAGAGGGTCGCCAACCAAAACGGCCTAAGCCTAAACCCACTCCCCAAGCCCTACCGCCTAAGTGCCCAGGCCTTCAGCCGGCCCAATCTCCCAGACCGATTTCCCCCAATCTTAAAGAACCCTGCGCCGCCATATCTCCAATCCCAAACCTCCTGAACCTTAAATCCTTACCCTTAGATTCCCTGGGCTTTGGAGTGCCATACTTTAATACTTTTTTTTGGGACCTGTTCCTTAAAGGAACCATTATGAAATAAAAGTCTATACTTTTTTCTCCCTGGTTACTTCAAAGCCCAGTTCCCGGATAGACTAAGCGCGCAGGCGGGACGCCGAGTTCCAAGAGCAACTGCGCTCGCAGCTGGAGGAGTGTTAACACACAGGGTTCTACCGAAATCCCATACGCCAAACCAGGTTTAGGGTTTAGGGGTTTGGGTTTAGGGGTTAGGGGTTATTAGGGTTTAGGGTTTAGGGTTTAGGGTTTAACCACTACAAATCTGTAAACTCCTACGCGCCCCTTGTAGCGTTCAGGGTTACATAAACCCAAATGCTAAGCCACTACAAACCTGTAAACTCCTACACACCCCTTTTGGGCTCTGAGCGTTCAGGGTTAACGGTTTGGGATTTCGGTGTCCAGGGGATTAGGGTTCAGCGTTTGTAAGGCGTAGTTGTGAGGTTTTTCAGGATTTGTTGATGTGAGTTTGGGTTTTAGCAGGGGTTGTTGTTAGACTACAAGGGTTGGAATGTGTCGGGTTGAGACTGGAGCATATTGTGTCCCTAAAACCCTAAACCCCAAACCCTAAACCCCAAACCCCAAACCCAAAACCCTAAGCCCTCAATCCCAAACCCTAAACCCTAAACCCTTTCCCCTAAACCCTCAACCCTTAATCCCTAAACCTTGAACCCCAAAGCCTAAGCCCCAAAGTTGAAGTTCGAAGGGAAGGGTGTTGACGTTGAAGGTTTGGGTGAAGGGTCCCGTGGTGAAGGTTGGCGATCCAGAGGTCGGAACAGTTAGTATAGTACTACGTATGTCCTTAGGGATTAGAGTTTTAGGGTTTAGGTGTGTTGAGGTTTTATGGTTTAGGGTCCACTCAAAAAGTTGTACTATCACGTACCGCAAAACCCCATTCTACTCAGTAAGGTCCTCATGAACAAGTGCTAGAGCGCAGGAATGGATGGGCAAGCTGCGCGACATGCGTCCGGGACGCAAGCTAGACGGCGAGCACCACCTAAATCCTAACAGAATATATACCCGGCCTAATTATACCCTACTCCCCAAACCCCAGACCCCGAACCCAAAACCCTGAAACCCTAAACTAAACCCTTAACCCTAAGACCTAAACCTTAATCCCCAAACCCCACAGCTTGAACCCAAATCCCTAAACTTTATAGAGGATACGCGCCCCAGACAAACTCTGAACCGAGGGAACCAGAACCGAGGGAACCAGACACAACTTAATTGCAGAATGTACCTGAAGGGGATTTAGGGTTTAGGGTTGTTAGTCTTATTTAGGGTTTCTTAGGGTTTAGGGTTTCGGGATGAGGGTTTAGTATTTAGGGTTTTCTTAGGGTTTAGGGTTTAGGGATGAGGGTTTCGTATTTGGGGTTTTCTTAAGGGTTTGGGTTTAGGGTTTGAGGGTGTAGTACTTAGGGTTTAGGGTTTAGGGTTTGAGGTTTTTAGTATTTGGGTGTTTGTTTAGGGTTTAGGATTTATGGTTGAGGGTTTAGCATTTAGGGTTTTTGAGGGTTTGGGGTCTAGTGTTGAAAGTGTAGTATTTCGGGTTGTTTGGGGTTTAGGGTTGAGGGTTTTGGGGTTGTTTGCTGTTTAGGGTTTAGGCCCTTTTGGGGGGTTTATAGGGTTTAGGATAGTTCCTTAGTGCAGCGGTATGGGTCTCGCTGGGATGTACTTGTGGTCCAAGGATGGAATCAAGTCCAATGGCCGTGTCTGCGCAGAAGAGCGCACCAGTCGCTCGGGCATGAGTTTCAAAGGGCTCGAAAGGTGGGGATGACGGTAGGTGGGACCATCGCAAGGTAAGAGTCCTTAAATACCGGATCCTTCATCCTACCTACCTTCATCCCGCCTTTTCCCCAAGACTCCAAGTATACAAATAGTACCTACTTTGGGGTCTAAAGTCTAGAAATGGTACCTTCTTTGGGCCATTCGGAGTCTTAGGGTTTGAGGCCCCCAAGGATTCTAGAAGCCTCTGGAGACGTCATGATATAGGTTTCGGGCTGGGCCTGACTCCAAAACCCTGTAAAGTAGGGGCCTCAACAATTAGAATAAGGTTTTGGGGTATATTGTACTGTGATAGAACAAGGAACCTCCAAAATAGTATAGGTAATTCTAAACGCTTCGCTTCATCCGCCTCGGCCCGGCCGCAAACAAAGAGGGCCAACGAACTGCTGGTGCCTTGAATGCGCCGTTGGCAGAGCGGACGAGGACCGGGGAAGGGGAGGAGATTGCGTACGAACAAGCAGAGGTGGCGCATCACTTGCCACGAGGCGAGTGGGGGGAAGGGTGGGTGAGACTCCCTACAGAGAGCCCAAATCCATTGGAGGAGGCGAGATTTCACTGCAGGACCTTGGGGCTCATTTTCGGGTTCACACAGAGAGACCCCCCCCCCCCCTCCGATGTCCCTTTTGGAGGGCGGGGGTCACTGGGGAGGGGATTAACTGACCGCTTCGGCCGGGGCCGAGGCGAATTAAAGGCCCCTACATCACTTGAAGAATCAGTGGACTAGGCAAGTGCGTCGTATACGGCGTTCTAATTTTGTTCTACGATGCTTTAACCAGCAAGCGGGTCGTATACGGTGTTCTGCTTGTTCCACGATGCTTTTAGTTGTTTCCAACAGGGTGTTGCAGAGCTTTAAAGTTCGCTTGTATTCTTTTTTGGAGGTAATATAGGGCCTAAATAATTACCAACAGTATTTTGGTGGTTTCCTTATTATCGTTATAGTATAATTTGAAACGCTTCGCGTCGCCCGCCTCGGCCCTGCCGCACACGTATGCGCTGAATCGGCCGGGGCCGAGGCGAACGCAAACGTTAAAGACCGTGGGCTTGCGGCGCATCGACGGCTGCCGCTCCAGCCAGTGCAGTTGGGACGGGCAGGAAAAAAAGTAAGGTGGAAAGCAAGCAAGCAAGCAAGAAGAATCGAAAGAAAAAAACAACGGGGGCAGGGGGTGGCCCGGGGGGGGGCTGCGGAGGGGCAGGCGGTGGGGTCGGACTGCCCTACAATCCATTGGAGGAGGCGAGATTCCACCGCAGGATCTTGGGGCCCATTTATGGGCTCACAGACTCCCCCTTTTCGAGGGCAGTTTAGGGGATTAAGAGGTGGGGATTAGAGGGAATCCGAATAGGAACCTCTGACCGCTTCGGCCGGGACCGAGGCGAATATACCACAAAACCTTTTTCTCATTGCACACTGATTATTAAGGGCCTTATAGTATGCCGGTGTAGTAAGATTGTCGGAAACCGGAGACATCAACCCCCTAAAGCGGTCGGAGACGTAATAAAGGGGGGTTGGAACAAGAAGTACTAGTACGGCTTTGGGTTTCGGGCATTTAGGTTTTAGGCTGAACTTATAGCAAAAACATGGTCTTATAGTCCCCCATGTGGTTTTTAGAATGTTCTGTAGTGGATTTTTCACCAGCACCGTGTTCCACTCGCCTTTTAGAATCAAACTTCGTTGCCTGGGTTTAGGGTTCCTCAGGCCTCCACTTAAGGCTCTTGGGTGCGTCTTCAGTCCTTTTTCTGTTGGGATTCTGGTTTCTTTCCACCGTTTTTGGGGATCTGCAAAAAGAATGTATGCATTTTTTTGCTCACCTTCAACGGGACCCTAAACCCTCGTCCCGAATCTTAGAACCCAGGTTCCCAAGTGGAATCCATTTAGGGTTTTCGTTTTTTCCCTGCTTTGGTGCAAGGGAAACCTTTCTCAAAGGGCTAGTTGTGAACAGGAAATCCTGCGGTCTTAAGCCCCCAACTTCCCCACTCTTGATGTCGGGGTGTGGGGTACATCCTAATGCTTATACCTTATAGCTGGATACCTTGTCCTTGTTGTTGTTGTTGTTGTTGTTGTTCTTGTTCTTGTTCTTGTTCTTGTTCTTGTTCTTGTTCTTGTTCTTGTTGTTGTTGTTGTTGGCTGTTGCTGTTGCCATGCTGGCAGAGGCAAAGTCCGTAGGCACGAGGTCCTATGCAAGGCTCAAGCTGGGGCCACCAAAAACTGGAACCCTAGGGAGTAGCCTTAGTAGTTGGGGTAGGGTTTAGAGTTCAAGGTTTAGGGTAATAATGGTTTGGGGTGCAGGCTTGTCAGAACGGTTGTGGACAAGATAGCCTTTTTCGTAACCCCAAACCCTAAACCCCAAACCCCCGATCTCTAAGACCCTGAACCCCAAGCCAGTAAGCCGTGCCAGAAGTGCGGCGGGAGCCCGAAGCAGATCGCCGGAACTTCCTCCAAGAAGGTCGCTGTGACCGTGCGCGTCAGGACCCGTGGGTTTAGGGTTTTCGGGTTTAGGGTTTCTGGTTTAGGATCTAGGGTTTCGGCTAGGTTTTTAGGGTTTAGGGTTTCGGGATTAGAGTTTAGGGTTTTTTGGCACTATTCCTTAGATTGCCTTATTGAATTTTAATTTTAGTCTAGTAGAACCCAAAGCCTTGTTCTAATTAATTGGCGCCTAGATTAGGGTCTAGGGTTCGGGAATACGGTCTTGCTTGCAAGGGATCGTCTACAAGGAAGTTATGGGGTTTTCGGAGTCACGGAACAGTTTTTTCTTTCAGGCTTTCACTTCTTGATCCCTAAAACGGTTTAGGGTTTAGGGTTTAGGGTTTAGGGTTTAGGGTTACAGAACCGTCAACACGAAGTATGTGGTCGCAGATGAGGGTCAGAAGCAAGATCAAGATGACGGCCCTTGTAGAGCCATCCCTAAACCCTGAACTCTAAACCCCTGAACCCCTAAACCCTAAACCCTAAACTCCACATAAAAAAAACTAAACTCCTACATCCTAAACCCGCGTTCTGTGCAGGACGGCAGAGCTTCCACAAGGAAGGGCTTCTGTTTCGACGCACCTGGACAACTTGGTGGCTCTGCCGATGACGTTTTCTTGGTTTTTAGGGTTCTACTTATAGGGTTTAGGGCTTGGTGTGTAGGCCGGTTTAGGGTTCAGGGCTTTGGGTTTAGGGTTTAGGGTTTGGGGCCTGGAGTTTAGAGTTTAAGGTTTAGGGTTCAGGGCTTTGGGTTTAGGGTTTAGGGCCTGGGGTTTGGAGTTTTGGGGGGTGTAGGGTTTGGGAGCTTAGGGCTTCACAGTATCTTCCGAACATGTAAGATAGGAGGTTCTGACCCCTGAGCCTTATGCAAAGCAGTAGCTTTTGGGATCCACAGGTTGAAGTTTCAGGGTTTCCGCGTCTAGGGTTTAGGCTGAGGCTTTCAGGTGTTGTGGCCTGTTTCAGTTTTCGGACAGGAAAAGGGTTTAGGGTTTAGGGTTTAGGGTTTAGGGTTTAGGGTTTAGGGTTTAGGGTTTAGGGTTTAGGGTTTAGGGTTTAGGGTTTAGGTATACTATAGGGACTTAATGCTTAGTCTTCGTATTCCCTTGTCGTCCCTGTCTGGTTTCAGTACAGTCCAATTTAGCCTTCTTCTTCGAGCTACCAAGGCTTTCTGTGTGTGTGTATATATATATACACACACACATACATACATGCATACAAAGTTGAGGGGTTCAGGCTTGAGGGCTTACGGTCAGGTTGATGTTTTGTACTTGGAAGACCATGAGGCTTAGTAAGTAAGGTTACAAAGATACCTTAGTTGGAGTTAGAAGCAATTATAACTATAGTCACCTCCTCTTTGGCTCTCGTTCCTATGTCCCATGATCCTTCAAGTATCCCTGAAAAACGCCATTATAGAACCTAAACCCCTAAACCCTTAAACCCTTAAACCCCTAAACCCCTAAACCCTAAACCCCTAATCTCATATGGATGCCTTAAGGGAGCCTTTGAGGGAGCCCAATGCCCTAGACCCGCAGCCCGACGCCTACACCCCCAACCCTAGAGGTGACTTCTTCGAGGGCTGAAGCGATTGGGATGTCCTTGAAAGAACCCTAAACCCTAAACCCTTGCGAGCCTGTTTAGAGCCCCAAACCCTAAACCCCAAACGCAAAAGCTTGAGCCCTTTAGGGTTTGGGGTGTAGGGTTCTACACCCTGAACCCTGGGCCCTAACCTCACAACCCCTAAGCCCTAAGCCCTAAACCCTTTGAAAAACTCAGCAAAGCCTGAGAAAGGCGAGCAGCCAGTCGACCCAGCAGATGGCGATGCTGTGGCTCTGCTGCGAGGGTTTTTGCTGAAGGTTTCCTTAGTCTGGAGGTAGGGGTTTAGGGGTTTAAGGTTTAGGGGTTTAGGTTTCAGGGTTTAGGGTTTAGCGGTTTAGGGTTTAGGGTTGAGGGGTATAGGGGCTTAGGGTTTAGGGTTTGGGGCTCAAGGTTACGGCTCAGAGTTTCGGGTTTTGGTTTTCGGATCTTGGGCTGAGGCCTTTTGGGTTTTAGAGTTAATGAATGACGATTGTTTACAGTTAGGGTTTAGGGTTTATGGTGCGCTCAAGGTCTTTCGGTGTTCTATAAGAAGCATGCTTAGGGGTTTCAGGGTTCAGGGTTTCCGGCTCAGGGTCCTTCGCAGTGTTGGCAGTCCTGCCATCGTCCTGGGCATGTCTCAAAAGCCGGGGTAAAGGCTAGCGGCGGTTTAGGGTTCAGGGTCTAGGGTTTAGGATGGCTAGCGGCTGGAGTACTTATCTGGGTTCTTGCTTACCACCATAAGGACACCCGATTGAATTAGTTACTAAAGGTTCGTATTCTGACAGTAAGTTCAGGGCCAAACCTTTCACTTCTCTTGTTCCCTCGTGGGACGAACGTTTAGGGTTTAGGGTTTAGGGTTTAGGGTTTAGGGTTTAGGGTTTAGGTTTTTTTTGCAGTTGATTGTACCTGCTTTCTCTGCAGATCGGACTTTAATTCATTCCGTTAATGGCTCTCTCGAGAAGCTCTTCGTCTGGAGGCTCGTGAGGCTGAAGGATACCATGGGTAAAGACTAAAGGTTCGTATTCTGGGGGGTTTAGGGCCTTTAGGGTTTAGGCTTTAGGGTTTAGGGTTTAGGGTTGAGGGTTCAGGGTTTAGGGTTTAGGGTTCGTATTCTGGTAGCTTGCATTCGCTTCCTTTACCAGAGCTCAGTTGTTAGACTCGGGCTCGAGGGACTACTTGGAGGATCATGGGACTTAGTAACTAGGGTTATAAATACGGTAACTAGACTTATCATTACATATAACCCAATTAGGGTACTTATAACCTTACTTGCTAAGTCCCCTGATCCTCCAAGAAGGACATCGAATAGTACAAGGTCCTCGGGGACTACAAAAGGAACTTAGGGTTATAGGCAAGAAAGACCCTGCAATGAGGAATATCACTTTGAGACTGTGCCATAACTTCGACAGTTTCGGGCATTTAATCAACCCCACGAGACTTTGCAAAGGTCTAACCTTGTTCTGTTGCGGCTTCAAAGCAAGACTGCTCACAGCCTTCACTCCTAAGTCTGAGCCCAAAACCCTAAACCCTAAACTCCTATGTCCTAACCCTAAACCCTAAACCCTAAAGAGTGCCTAGGCACAATGCTTCCTTCGTGAGCCACGCGACGCAGGACAAATCGGATGGCCAGGCTTCAGAGAGAGTGTACGGCTCTTCGGTGGAAGCACATAGTCCTACTATTTTAATATCGAGGCATGATGAATGATTCGTAGGTAATAATGGTATCCCCTGGTTGTCCTTATATAAACAATCTTGCTGCACACCGCACACCCCTAAACCCTAAACCCCAAAAGCCAGCCCCTGGCGGTTTAGGGATACCCTCAACTCCTCCGGTCTTAGGGCTTTGAGTATCCGACCTGCGAATGTCCCAGCACATACTAGGGTTTAGGGCTTTGGGCTTAGGGTTTGGGGTTTAGTTAGTACCCTAAACCCGAAGCCCTTAATCCAGAACCCAAAACCCTACAATCCAGAGCTCTAAACCCTGAACCAGCCTAAACTCCAAACCCACAACTCCAAGGCGAAAGTGTCTTGTTGCAGGTTGAGCATGCAGCTTTCTGGCGTGGTGCAGGCCCTATAGCGTTTTATAACAGCACGTGGAAGGAAATTGAAACGAGAAGGTAGGTTTACGTTAAGGAGGCTAAGCTCTAGGCTTGTACTTCGAGGATCAAGGCACTTTGGAAGCAGCATAGAACATGTACGTAATTCTATTATAACCAGTTGCAACCTGTTGAACACTCATGGGCAAGCTGCGCACCGGCAGCCACTGCCCCAGTTCCTGGGGCAGATCTGGTGGTTGAGACATCCACTCGCTCAGAGTCGTTCGTTTTCTTCGCCAGATTGTGGCAGGTTAATAATATTAGACGGTTCTCGTCCTCCACATTTGGACCCTAGTCTTCACGTGCATGTAGGGTTGAGGGTTTAGCAGTTTAGCGTTGAGGGTTTAAGGGTTTAGGCTTTAGGGATATGCATCTAAGTTTCGATTTCGCTCGAGAAATCGAATCTTAGATTCGGAACACTTTGCTGAGCCGACCTCTGTGTTATCAGATGTTTGGTGCAGATCCACTTAGGCATTAGATCCTTCAACGGTTAAATCGCCCCAAAACCCCCACAAAAAACCTTTGTGAGAGCTTCGAAGAGGAAGTTATGCCAATCGTCTAGACCTCGACTACTAGGATCCTTCATACCAGGGCTACAAACAAGGACCCGTTGTTGCAAGAACTCACCCACGCAGAAAGCCCCCAAAAACTCCCTTACTGTAGCCCTTCAACACCGTTCCTACCAAAAAAAGCCAGCCCTGCGCACCCCTTTCAGCATCCAGAAGAAAAGTCGAAATGGCTGTCGGGGAACTCCCTCATAAAATCTCCGTAGAAAGCCATAACAACTTGAAGAGGGGCCGAAGGCTTCAAACGCCCCACAAAAGGCCATCAACTCTGAAAGAGGAGTCCTAGACTCCCAAGCCTAAGTCTTAAACCAAAAGCCCTAAAAGCCCCAAACCCAAAATCCTAACAACCCCAAGCCCCAAGCCATTGACTTATTCCCCCTAAACCCCTAAAACCCTCAACCCCTAAACCCTCGTAGCCCCAAACCTTAAACCCTCAACCCTTCAACCCTAAACCCTAAACCCTCAACGCCCCAAAGCTTCGCAGAAAACCCTAAACCCTAAACCCTAAACCCTAAAGTTGCGCAGAGGAGTCGAAGAAGTTCTTTAAAGCGACCTGCCACTGCAATCCACGGAGGAAGCCCGAGGCCAGGAATGGTCGACGGTTTAGGGCTTTGGGGTTTGGGGCTTAGGGCTTTAGGGCTTTAGGGCTTTAGGGTTTAGGGTTTAGGGTTTTAGGGTTTAGGGTTTAGGGTTTAGGGTTTAGGGTTTAGGGTTAAGGGTTTAGGGTTTAGGGTTTACACGCCTTCAGGCTTCAGTGCTTCAGGGCTTTAGGGTTGTGAGTACAGGGTTTGGGGGTCTTAGAGGTCTAGGCCTCGACGTCTGAGTAAGGTGTTTCAGGTTTGGGGTTTAGGCTTTATAATACTGGTACGGCTTAGGGTTTAGTGTTTCGGTTCCGTCCTCCGAGCAACTTGCTTAGCTTTCAGGGCTAAAGTATAGTGCCGACCGTGGGGGGCCTGCAGCACATGTACCTGTAGTGGAGGTGGTGGTAAGGCATGGGGCTTAAGAATTGAGAGATAGGGTCATAGATAGGGCCAAGGCTTAGGAGTCAGGGTTTAGGGTTTGGGTTTAGGATTCAGGGTCTTGGGTTTGCAACCAATTTCGAGCACCGATAATTATCGATAACCCACCCTAATAGCGACTATGTTTATATTTGTTCGGGAGTTCACCGATCTTATAGACCAAAGGTATGTTTTTAAGGGTCCACGCAAGCCTAAAACCCGAAAGCCTGTAGCATGGATCCTCAGATACTGGTAGGATGATGGGACTTAGTAACTAGGGTGATAAGTAAGGTGACTATAGTTGTAACGCACTTTAACTCGAATTAGGGTACTTGTAACTTTACCCCTACACCCTGTACCCTAAACCCTTACAGTACCCCTATAGGACCCTTAACCCTTTACTACGTCTCCTGATCCTCCAAGTAGGAGCCGGAGCGCAGGGATCGTTGGGTCGCTTTCGAATCCTCGACCACAAGTGTTCTAGACAGGGTTCCTTTCAGGTAGGGTTTAGGGTTTAGGGGTTCAGGGCTTAGGGCTGGGCCCAAGGGTCTCCAAAAAAGGGTTTCTAGACGGTCTCCTTTCAGGATTCCTTTAGTCTTAGTAGTAGAGTAGACAACCGTTACGTAACCTTTTGGGGTATTATCATCCACTCATAATTCCAAAGGTTAACAATTGAATATCCTAGGGTACTGCGCAATTGGGACTAGGTCATGACCTTTTTTTTTCTTTTTCACGGTTCATGCTACAACTGAGCAGTAAGCAGTAGAAAGGCACCTCGATGTTTGAAAGTTTTTTCTGAATATGTAGTTTAGATCCTGGAGGCCCCCATAAACTCTCAAGCATAAGCTTCTCAACCCTGAACCCCACCTAGACCTCAAGCCCCTATGAAAGGGAACCCTTCAAGAAGACCTGCGCAATAGGAGAGCTATCCCGGATGCTTCCGCCGCTTCCTGCAGGTGCGGGGTGGTGTCTTTGGAGTTTATGAGCGTCCTGGGTTTACTCTAAACCCTAAACCGCCCAGAGTTTCCTTTGAAGGTTTTTGCAGGATTTTGGTGGGGTAAACTATAGTATAATGGGTCCCAAGACCCTTTTCTAATTATTAAGGCCCCTGTATTCACATGTTATAACGAGTTGCCCTATCTTACAACTCCACTGAGGATCCTGTAAGTAGGGTTTAGCGGGTTGCCGGCGTTTTTTGGAGGTGCGGGTTTAGGCTTCAGCGGTTTAGGGTTTAGGGCTTTGGGTTTCAGAGAGTTCAGCATTTTCGTTTTGGCGTCTTTAATATTTGGGTAAGGGTTGATACGAGGCTGGCTTGGGTCGTTCCGGTGGACCCTAAACCCTAAACCCTAAACCCTATGGAGTTTAAGGTTTTAGAGAACCTACGCAGTTTACGAACTACTCGTGCAGGCTGGGGCTTAAGGGTTTAGGGTGCTGCGTTATCATGTTTTGGGGGTTCCCAGATCCTTGGAAGGACCGAGAAAGTAGATCTCCCCTAATTCGGGACCCTATACTACTAAAGTTCTTTATAGGAGCCCAGTAAGGGATCTACTTGTTGGATCCTTCCGTGGGTCTGGCTTGAGGTTGTCTATCCAATGGTTGAATGTTGGCAGGCTTACGTTTTGTTGTCGGTTTAGGGTTTAGGGTTTTGAGCCTTAAGCCCTACCTTAAGCTAACAAAACCTACTTTTTTGTAGGGTCCCTATAAATTTTACATTAGTGTTGATAGTGAGAGTGAGAACCTAGAGAAAAGTAGGTTATGGTACTAGTATAAAAGTCCCCATTCTCTAAGCCGTAAAACCCTGAACCCGATAGCCTGAGCGCTAACTGAACCCCTGAAACCCTAAGCCGTAAACCCCAAACCCAAAAAAAAATTGACACCCTAAGCCCTAAACCCTAAGCCCTGAACACCAAAGACATGCACCCTAAAACCCTAAACCCTAAACCCTAAACCCTAAACCCTAAACCCTAAACCCTAAACCCTAAACCCTAAACCCTACACCCTAAACCCTAAACCCTACACCCCCAATCCCCATCGCCTTGTTGAAACCCGCTCTGGACATGTTCACAAGAAGCCTGGAACTCGCAGGGTGTATATAAGGGTTTAGGGTTTAGGGTTTAGGGTTTAGGGTTTAGGGGTATATACCCTACCCTAAGGCTCTTATTGCTGTTATGGGCTTTCTAGGGGCAGGTTTGTGCTTTGGGGGCTAAGGTTTGGGCTTTCACTATGGGGGTCCATGAGCCTTAGGGTTTACCCTAAACCCTAAGACCCTAATGTAGGGGCCTTATTAATTCGAATAGGGTTTTGGGGGCTCCTTATTGAAGTTCTAGTAGAATGTATCCCCAAACCCTGTTCTAATTATTGAGGCCCTTTTTTCTGAGCCCTAAACCCTAAACCCTCAAAGCCCGAAACCCTAAACTCCGCATGTGCCTTGATCTAGCAGACCTCAAGGCATGGCCTCCGAAAACCTCAAACACCATACCCTAAGGCTCTAGTTTATGGTACTCTGTATGGAAACCCTTAAGGGAATGGAGCGCTCTTCTAGGAACCCTTATAAGAAGCCTTGCAGGCACCGCTTCAGATTAAGGCACTATTAACTCCCAAACTCTTATAGCAGCCCTTACAGAACTCTTTCAGGAGCCCTTTCGGTTTAGGGTTTAGGGTTTAGGGTTTAGGGTTTAGGGACCCTATTCTAGTTCTTCAGGCCCCTAAACCCGATTCAAGAGGCACTCATAAAGCCCGAAAGCAAGCCGCGGAAGGAGTTTGTGAGCTCTGGCTGGTTTGAGGCGTTCTTTGCTGTCGTCATCGCGCCACGGTTCAAAATTTAGGGTTTAGGAGTTTGGGGTGAAGAGCTTTGGGTTTAGGGTTTAGGGGTCTGAAGTTTTGTCGGGAGGAATCACAAGGTTGGTCGGAGGGCCGCGGGGGTAGGCTTCAGAGTCGAGTGTTGCCACTGTAGCTTGGCCAAACCCTAAACCCTACACCCTAAACCCTCAAAAAAGAAAAACCCTAAACCCAAAACCCTCAACACAAAAAGCCCTAAGCCCTAAACCCTGAACAAAAAAACCCTCAACCCTAAACCCTCACACAAACAATCCCTAAACCCTTGATCCTAAACCTGGTTACTGGAAGGGTTCCTTCAAGGGCTCCTTTCGAAGGTCAGCCCTGTAAGATGGATCTAGGAGCGTTTAGGGCAGAGAGCCTTCATCGTTGAATCTCAACAGTTCTATCAGGGTTGCTATTTTCACGTTGCTGCGAGTTTAGGTTTAGGGTTTAGGGTT